TCTCTCTCTCTCTCTCTCTCGCGCGCTCTCGCGCTCTCATCTACTGTCAAGGGTTCTATTCAGCCAGTTTTTCTTGTTCATGGGGATCAATTCATCCGCTCTTCGCAACCGCACCCGCTCTGCCTGGTGTTGAAGCTCGTGTGCAAATTTCGGCTCGAGTGGCCAGCGTTTGAGAAGTGTGTCGAAAGTGTGGTCTTGGTGTTGCGATGGATTTGCGGTTCGACGGCTGACGACTTGATTTTGTGAGGGTGACGGCTTGCAGACCAGCATGATGTGTAGGAGGACAAGGCCAAGAGTTGCGACGCCGTCCGTCGGGAAATGGCTGAATCGTGCTGATCTTTACCACGGAGGCTGATGTTGAGAGTAGAGTATGGGAGCTGGAGAAGCTGAGCGACTCGCTCGAGCTTTGGCGCGTTTAGCGTCGAGTCTCGGCGAGGCAGAGGTCAGCATGACAGTGCCGAACCAGCTCAAGCGATCCATCCTGATGCATGCCAGACGTCACACATACAGGGATTTGATGTGTGTGAGCGATCGCTTATCCGCTCTTGTCGAACGTGAACCATCAGGCCTGGATACCAGACAACGATACAGATGTGCACTTGCATTGCAGGGTGGTCGATTAGGACATACCAAACACCCTCGCTTCCGCCACCACGGGCGTGCCTAATTTGAGCTCGACCGCCTTGCTGCCGCGCTCACGCCAGTGCTGTACGACGCTGTGCGCAAGGTAGGGCCGAACCTCGGCATCGCGCGTGGCGATGGTAATGTGCGGATACCAATCGGTATGCAGCACCGCAAACTCGTCAGCCAGCTCACGCGGCGGCGTGATGCGATCAATCGGGAACGTAAGAAGTGTATCCCGCTCATACAGCACTGTCGACAACTCCACCTCAAACGTCCCCCCGCCAACGGTGCCAAGCGTGCCGATGGGGCTGGCGTTGGACAGCAGCCGCGTGTAAAAGTCCCACTTTGCATCGCTTGCGTTCTTGTCCTCCCCCTCCGCAGCGCGGTTGCTTCCATGCACCAACGTCACATGCGGCCTTGCATTCACCCTCCCCCCATCCCGTACACTCGTGTAGAACTGCGCCGCTTCATCCTCCCTCCCCGCAAAGAGCGAGTCCAACGTAGCCCGCACATCCAGCTCGACCGCTAGGCCAAAGTACCTCACGCCCGCTTCGTCCTTCTTGTCGGCGCGCGACTTTTTCGTCACCTTCCAGTCGACAGCCTTGGCTAGCGCCGCCTCGACCCGCGCATCACCCGGCACGCTCCACCCCAACACGGGCCCCATGGCCTTGATGATGGTCAAGAGGTTGTCCTTGGCGGATGCGCGCACGGAGAGCTGGACGACATGGTCGAAGCTGGCGTCCCCATAGCCCTGTGAGCCTTCGCCTTTGCCGTGTGCGCTGTGGAACGGTTCGAGCGCCTCGAGGAAGCGCCAGAGGATCTGTTCGTGCGATCGCATCCCTGCCACCGCCCCCTCGGCCGTATCTGCCACGAGTGTCTGGTGGTTGTCTCCCCTCGCCTCGATGCGCGCCGCACACAGCCGGTGCAGCGTGTTCAACGGCACGGAATCCAGATCCCACACCAGCGCAACCGTCCTCACCCTGCCCACATCCACCTTGGCCTTGCCCTTCTTCCCCTGCGGCCCTGCTGGTGGGATGGAGAGCTGGCGGGCGAGCTCGACCATGTCGTCGCGGTGCTGCTGGAGATGGTTGTTCTTGTCGGCAAACACGACGTGCGACTCGGTCGCATGCGCCCGGATGTCGCGCTCCACCGCGCCCAGGAAGCCCTTTTTTGCTTTAAACTCGTCCGACTGCACGTGCGACACGCCAAACAGCTCGTGCAGCGCCACGGCCAGAACCGTCTTGCCGCACCCCGGCACCGCGACGGGCGCCAGCACGGTCTTGCTAAACGCGCGCGTGTCCGGCTGCTTCTCCGCCGGCGCAGCGGCGGCGACCGGGGCAGCGCTGGCGAGGTGCGCGAGGAATGCGTTGCGCATGGCAATGATGCCCTTGTTCTGCGTCAGCCCTGCGAACAAGGAAGGCTGCGGCGCGATCGACTTGGACGCATTGCCGTACAGCCGGTCGTAGCACCACTCGATGAATGCGAGCGTTTCGGGACGCCGCGCTCGCGGCTGTGGTGGCGACGGCGGCAGGATGCCGGCTGCCTGCGCGGCTGCTCGTGCCGTGGCGGCTTCTTTGGCGTTCTGCTTGGCGAGACGCTTCTTCTCGCGTTTCAGCGCGGCTTTGGACGGGCCCTCGCCACCTCTCTCGTTCGCCTGCTCAGCTGGCTCTTCCGCCTTGGTTCCGGGCTCTTCCACCTTGTCAGGCTCGGCAGCTGGCGTGGAGTCGCTGGTCGGCTGCTGGGTGGCGGCGACCTTGGCCTGCCAGTCTTCCTTCTCCTTGAGCATCTTGCGCGCCAGCTCGCGCCAGTCGCGGTACATGAGGTAAGGTTCGTCGAATTTGACCTTGTAGAACCACGCCTGCCCTGGTGCGTATGGCGGGCTCACGGCCGTGTTGTCTGGATCGGCCTTGATGGTCTCGAGCTGGTGCGGTGCGGGCATGTGGGTGCGAATGACAAAGCCCTCGATAGGCTCGCCCTCCCATGCGCCCGTCTGTTCGATCTCGGCGGTGACGCGCTGCACCTCTTGCAGCGACGGCAATTCGATCCATCGTGTGCGGATGAAGCCCCACGCCTCTGCGAATGCGTCGACGTCCGGCATGGGCCGCGTGGCAAACTTGGCGGCGTTGGCATTGAGGCCGTGCAGATGGAGGCCGGAGCGCGCACGGTCGTAGGCGAGCACGTGCTCCTCAAAGTCATCGTCGCACAGCTCAAAGGCGGCGGTTTCGTTGCGGCGCCACAGCTCGGCAGCGAGCTGCGACTCGGTGCGGCCGACGGAGGCGAGGTGCTTGAGCAGCCACTCGCGCCCCTTCTGCGCATGCGTCACCTCGGCGCCCGCAAGACCACCGAGCGAGTGCTTGGAGGTAGCGACGATGTGACTGGCCGAGAGCGCAGCGACAAAGATGATGCATCCGTTCTCCTTGAATGTGAGCACGTAGGGGGCAGTTGTGAAGCGCTCGATCGACGGCGGCTTGGTCCACGGCATCTCGCCGAGGTTGAAGAACTTGTCGTATCCGCGCACCACGATGCGATGCTTCTCTGCAGCATCTGAGCCCGTGTCGACGCGTTCTGTAAAGAGGCCTCTTGCGAGCGTGGGCAGCTCCGACCCGACGCCCGTCGCCTTGCGGTAGGCAAACTCGGCGACCTTCCACGAGAGCAGATGGTGATGGTCCGCGCCGGTGTTCGAGGCGACTCCTGCGGGTACATCGACGCGATGTCCTGTGGATCTGATCAGCGGCTTGGGCTGTTTGCGCGCCGCATCGAGGGCAGCAACGAGCTTGGTGGCTGCGTCGATCTCGGCGCGGTGTGCGGGCGTGAAATGAGACGAGGAGCTGGAGGGCGCAGCATCGTCGAGGGTGAGCGCGGCGAAGGCGCTCGAGGGGCTGTTGGGTACCTGGACAGCCGCAGCCTGAGCCTGAGCCTGAGCCTGTTCGGGGCTGCTTGCACCGTTGGTGGCCGGTGCAGCGTCTGTTGTAGCCATCGCTTGATGATGTAGTGAGTGGTGGTGGGAAAGCTGAGCCTCCACTTTCTTCTGAAACGCTCAAATTTCGAGCAGCGCTTCAGCCGTCAAAAGCGGCCAACAGGGTCTCGCGATTTTCACCGTATGTTAGGCCTTTGCAACTCGGCTGTGTTGGTCTCTCCACCTCGAGACTCGCGCGATACGCTCTTGCTCGTCTCAGGCTCACCACCACACCCTCGGTATCACTTTCACAAACACACACACACCCAACATGGAGGCAGCAGTAACAGAGTACCAGAAGCTTCAAGCTTGTAAGTCTTCGCTCCTAGTCCAGCTTGATTGACCAACGAGCTGACAACCGGCACGCTTGTGCGCCTGCATGACAGCCTTCCAGACCGCCGTCGAGGCGCGCCAACAGCTCGACTCGCAGCTGCGCGAGAACGAACAGGTGGCCAAGGAGTTCAGCAAGCTCACGCAGAACAACGAGGTGTACAAACTCATCGGACCCGTACTCGTCAAGCAGGACCAGGTCGAGGCAAAAACCAACGTCGACAAGCGCATCGAGTTCATCAAGGGCGAGATGTACGTCCGCGCAGCCAGCTTCCAGCTAGCTTTTTGGTACTGACCAGCATCTTTGTGATGTCACCTACAGCGAGCGCGTAGAGGCGCAGATCAAGGATCTCAACGAAAAGACCGAAAAGAAGAAGATCGAGGTGCGTCGCTGAGCTGTTGCTCTGTACTCTACTTCGTAGGCACTCGTGCTGACTTTGGACTCGGCTTGCAACAGATCGTCGCTCTCCAAACAAAGGCACAGCAGGACGCTTCAGCTGCAGGCGCTGCATCCGCCACTGCCATCTCGGCCTGACATTCTTCCCCCAGGTATTTGTGTTGGTTTTGGTATTGTACAACAGTGAAGCTCTATGCGAAACATAAAAAACTAGCGACTCGTCTCGACCACGTCTACCTCGTCATCGCTCTCCGCCACCTCGATTGGCGACACCGCCCTGTTGGCCACCGGCGATGTGACTGCGGCGGGTCCCTGTGCGTCTGCGCTCGTCTCGTCATCAGACAGACTAGGGCTGCCGCGCCTCTTGGCGGACTCGGACACATCGGAACAGCCCAAGCTCTTGGCAAGCAGGCGGTACCGCTTGCGCTCCACCGCGCCCACCGCCTTGAGCTCGGTGTCGAGACGGCATTGGTGGTCGCGCGAGAAGCGGCTCAGCAGCTGCTTGGCTTCGGCGTCGCCCTGCCATGCGGTGCGTTTGGCAACGATGAGCGCACGCAGCAGGTACTGCGCCACCGTCGTCGGCTTGATGCTGCTCCCCGCCGCTACTTGCACGATCGTCTCGCTCGAGTACAGCCACCGATGCATGGCCCGGTCGTGCGCCAGCAGCACACGCGTCACCGTCACTCCCTCGTCGCTGCTCTCCCCCTCGTCTTGCTTTGCAGCTACCGCCCTGCGTTTCGGCCGCGGCGGTAGGGTGGACGCGACGCTTGCAGCGGGTTTCGGCGATTGAATCGGCTTGCTCTGCTTGATCGGCTCCTTTGGCTGGTCTGGCGCCCGAAGCTCGCGTAAGGCGGTGCGCAGTTGCTGCTTCTGCGTCTCGGCCGCTGTGAGCTGCATGCGCTCCTGAAGCAGATCGTACGCACTCAATCGCAGCGCGCTCGCCAGATCCAGCGGCTCCCTCGTCGCCTGTCTTTGCGCCGACGCATCAATCTCGTCCAGCTTTGCGAGCATTCCTCCTCTGTCTCGTTCCTTGTCCGGTGGCGTGGGGGTAAAGTACTCTGCAATCGCACGCAGCACCTCCAGGCTGGCAAACGTATCGCTCGCCGCATACTCGATCTGTTCCTGGTCGAGCGGGAACGTCTCCCAGTCGCTCACGCGCACGTCGCCCTTGCGCAGCCGTCGGCCGAGGTAGATGCGTGTGAGGTCGCGCAGGCTGATGAGCGTCCCCACGCTCGCCCACCGCGCCGGCTGCGCCAGCTTGGCGAGGTTGCTCAGCTCGAGCACGTTGCGCATGTGGATCGCATAGTCGCGCTGCAGCTTGAGCGCGTCGTTCCGGACCGCCACGCCCGTCTTGATGATGCTCGGGTCTTGCAGGATCGTGCGCAGCAGTGGTGGCACGCGGTGCGACATGGCCGACATGTGGATGACCAGGATCATCCTCGGACTGCACAGCTGCAGCAGCGCCGTGCGGTTCGCCCCGCCGAAGCGTGTAAAGTTCCATTCCAGATCCAGGCCCATAGGCCCGGGCCCGAGGCACGAGAGCAGCTCTTCAGCCTCGTCATAGTCGGCCGTGTATGCTAGCAGCGGCGTCTTGAGCCGCGCCGGAGCTGTCCAATCTTGAGGAACCGCAGCAACGGAATCGGATGAAGGCTTGGATCGCGCCAGGAGGAAGTCTGCACCTGTCGCTACCTCGGGGCCAGCGGGAACAGTGTGGGTGTAGATGTCCAGCCCGCGTTCGAGCCTCTCCTGCTCGGCCTCCTTGGCCGCCTTTGCGGGCGAGATCTTCCACTGATGCGGCCTGTATCTTGATTGCTTGCTGGCCGTCGTGGAGCTGTGGCGCTGCTGCTGTCCCTGTGCTCGCGCTTGGTGTGTCGAGGCCCACGTTTTGGGCGGCCGATTCTTGGCCCGAGCGCGCGCCGGCATCTCGAACCACCCTTTACCTCCCCGTCGCCCGTGTAGCGAGCTACCTCTGAGATCGAAAACAGCTTTCTGCGATAGTGGTGATGCGCTGAGCGGCACGAGTCCGAGCCGTGAGCAGCCTGGAATCGAGAAGCGTCGAGGCAGCACAGCTAGTGTGAGCTTCATGACCCGGCCTGGCACGATTGGGATGCGTGGCTCGTGGTCGTGGCCATCGCTCAGGTCCCAGGCGACTGGAACATTGCTTTCGAATGGTTGTGAGGGTGTGGTGGTGTCGAGGCGAGGCGATACAGTCTTGAGGCAAGGCCAATGCTCCGCGTCGTGAGGCGAGACTTTTGTGTTCAGGGTCCTGCACTCAAAATCACGACCGAGGGATTTCACGTCCCGGACGCGCACGCGCTTTTATGCATACTGTTAAGGTGCAATCTCGCACACTTTCGTTGATTGGCCACAGTTGCTGCCCTCCTCGGACACGCCAACATCACGCAATGGACCCCCACCACACTGAACTGCACGCAACAATCTCACCGGATCGAGACGCACAAAAGGCAACTGACGGAGCCTAAAAGGACCCCTCGTGTGCGAGGAAGCCCGGTTTGATTTTTGGGTCGTGTGCGTTTCCCAACGGTGAGAGGGAAGAGCTGCAATACAACAGTGAAAAGACATGTGTATGTGTGCGTGTGTGTGTGTGTGNTTGATTTTTGGGTCGTGTGCGTTTCCCAACGGTGAGAGGGAAGAGCTGCAATACAACAGTGAAAAGACATGTGTATGTGTGCGTGTGTGTGTGTGTGTGCGTGTGTGGAAGAGATGAAGCGATCCGACGTCCAAGCCGCAGGTTGACGCAGCCTATACGCGGATCAAATATGCGGAGGGGAGATGGTGGTACATGACCTCCGAGAAGCTACTGCGAGACGGAGCTGCGGATGTGCAGCGATTCACCATCTGGCGCCAGACTCTCGAAGGCAACCGAAGCCGAGCGGGACAAGGGCGATCGCAAGAGGCGATGCGCTTATCGGCGGCCGGCACCGGGGACGTGGCGGCCACGGCGCTCGGGGGCCTGGTAGGCAGTGACGGGGGCGGTGACGCTGACGGGGAGGCTGTCGAAGCCGAACGAGCGCAGCATGTCCTTGGTGTCGGGGTCGACCTCGAGCGAGCCGGGGGCCGTAGTGTCGAGGGCCGAGACCTCGGGGACGTACTGGTCCTTGCGCTCGCGCTCCTCCTCCTGCAGCTTGAACGAGATGCCGCGGACGGGGCCACGCTGGATGCGCTTCATGAGGTGGGTGGTGAAACCGGCGATCTTGTTGCGCAGACGCTTCGAGGGGATGATGGCGACCTCATCGATGACGCGCTTGTTCTGGTGGAAGTCGACGCTCGACAGACGAGGGTAGTACTTCTCGATGAGCACGCGCGAGGCACGCTTGGTGGTCTTGGTACGAACGCGACCCTACAAGGTGGTGATCAATCGCATGACGAGCGCAAAGGGAGAAGTCAGCATTCTGCGCGAGCTTCACAGTGTGTACGGGTCGAGAGCTTTCGACAGCGAGCAAGTACGGTGACATCGCACGGTTGGCGAGGCAGCGAGAGCGACAAGTAGCGCACAGACGACAGGGTCGTCGCTTCGAGCTGGTGGAGTTGGATGTCGAGACGGTTGGCGATGCTGTTCGCGTTTCTTGCGGGAGTCGCGCGGTGCTGATGTCGAAAGGAGTCGGCCTGATCATCTAACTGAACGTGTGTGATTCTACCGTTGCTCCAGCGGTGAGATACGAATGCGGCGCGAGTCTCGTTCGTGGTGCTGGATGTGTCTGAATGTGCACTCTGCGATCGAAGTATGACGTTGGTACAGGCGTGTTTCGCACGATCGAGACTGCAATCGATCGATGTCTTGGCAGTGCGTCGGACTGATTGGAGTGTGAAGTCCTTTCAGAGGCCCATCATGAAGAGTCAAGCCGCCTGTTCGATTGAACAGGACGGCCGTTGCGATCTCGTCCGAGGCTGAAGGTACTCCAACATCGGTTGCACTTCGGCCATGCTATCTTCTGCTGACACTGTCATGTCTGGTCGTTGCTGTCTATCGTCTGCAACTTCCGCGGCATGTTCTGAAATGGGGCGGGATCGTCGAACATGATGATGGCATGCCGTAGTTGGCTCTACTGGGATTCGGAAGCCTATGCTTGCTGAACTGGGTTGCCGAGGTAGGTGTCGATGCTGCTGCTGTGTCCGATGCTGATGCTGTTGCCGTGGGTGGTGTCGTGCTCGCTGTCGAATGCTGGACGACGATGCTTACCATATTGGATGATTCTTGAAGTTAGAGGATGGTGACGGGAAAGTGTGATCGTGAGGAGAAGGATGATGATCCAGAGCGCGACCGAGCGTCACTCGCAGCCCGGCGCACCTAGGCTGTGGCCCTCGGAGCCTTGGCCGGGCCTGGCTGCCAGTCCACTATCCGCTATGCCACTCGTGCCGTCTTGAGCCTTGCCCGCCTCGAATCTGGCAGCTCACCACGACCCGCTCTGGCTCACGCCGGCTGGCTCTCACCTCAGACCTGCTTCCCCGTCGTGGAGCTCGAGTCTTCGTGACGTTGGGCAAGAGGCCTCAGTCGCAATTTTCTGATTGAGACCGACCTCGGCCGAGCTTGGCACGTGACCGTTGCGAAACGCTCGAATTCGAGATATGCGTGTCTGCGGCCTGAAATTGGGTGGATCGGACGCGCTGCCTGTCTGCTGCCCTGTTTTTCCGAGCCTCTGGGACCGCCTGCGAAGATTTGGCGCGCGACGGTGAGGAGTGCGAGAGTGCGTTGCAGAAGACGTGAGCTTCGAAGATCTGCAAAGGGTGCGTGCTGAAGGCCACGGCACTGGACACGGCAGCAGCCTGCGATGCGAGGGCGAGGCAGCAAGCCGAGCCAGGAGGCCGCTTTGGCATCGGGGCCAAGCCAGAAGCGAAGCCAGAAGCGCCGCTGCTGTGTGCTGCCAGCCGAGGCGTGTCGGGCGCGAGGAGGCTAGTCGTCGCCGTTGCGCTGCCTTCTTTCTCCTGCCTCCATCTTTCATCAACCGGTCACCGTTCACCACCTCGTCAAGGTTAGTAGCAGCTCCAATAGCATCCAACGACACTCCCAGCGCAGTACACACACAGGGTTGCTCCGACCGCCGCAGCATCTGTTCAGCCGACGACCGAAGCACATGAATCGACACACGCAGCCACTCCCGCAATGATGCCGACGCCAGCATATACAGCATGCATGCACATTACCGACTTTGGATGAGACCAGCAGTCGCCTCTCCATCTTTTTTAAAGTCATACACATCCAAAAGCCAGAGGGCTTCATCGACGATCATTGCGTTCAGCCTGTAGTCTTTCGACTCGATTCACATCCGAGCACCGAAAGATTCAGCATCGCACCCGACGTGTGCTTGCAATAGGCACGACGACGTCTTCAGCACATCGCTTCCGCCCTAATCAGCCTTTTGCGTCGCCGGCATCGACACGGTGCCACGAACGCCCGAGTGTCATCCGACCTGTACCTCTCCAGATCCAACTTTTGGCAACCCCTGTGTCTTTGGCTCGTCTGGGAACGTCATTGGTAGTCGCGGCTGGTGCAGAACAGGTCATCAACTAACCACCAACACCCGCCATCCCTCTGCCAACCTTTGCCTGTACCTGCCCAGCAGATCACATAATCGCCCATCATGGTCCGCATCTCCGTTCTCGTAAGTATCCGTCCCCACCACACATCGCGTCGTCACCCGACAGCTTCCTGACGATTTCCCTCACACCTCGCCGTCCACAGAACGACGCCCTTAACTCCATCGTCAACGCCGAGCGCAAGGGCAAGCGCCAGGTGCTTGTCCGACCCTCGTCCAAGGTCGTCATCAAGTTCCTCTCGGTCATGCAGAAGCACGGTAAGTTTCGATCATCCCCACGCACATACTCTTTCACTATTCCTTCCCCGATTGCACTTGGACAACACATCGACATCAGCAGGGTGGACATCATGCAGTCATGGACAGCAGCACCAGGCATAGGGGGAGGAGGAGGAGGAAGAAGAGGAGGTAAAGCATCGGCAGGATACAGAGGCAGAAGAGGGGTCGTACAGGAGGAGGACTCCGGAGTTATAACTAATGGGCATCTGGCTGGCGTCTTCGGAGGCCCACACCAGCGTTCATCTTTAAGGCTCCGGGAAAGTAAAGTCGGCAATTGCTATGCTTACCGCGTGGAGAGGCACTACTTCCACCTCATCGGCGCAAATTTTCGGCGTGCCACATGTCCAACCTTTCGCTCTCCCACTCTCGCTCTCGCTCTCCGTTCGTGGCGCTGCATTCATGTCGAGAAGACAGCGATACTGATTCAACTGTCACTTTGTGATTGATGCAAAATCCAGGCTACATCGGCGAGTTCGAGGAGGTCGATGACCACCGCTCGGGCAAGGTCGTTGTCCAGCTCAACGGCCGCATCAACAAGTGCGGTGTGATCTCGCCCCGCTTCAACGTGCAGCTCGGCCAGATCGAGAACTGGGTGCAGCAGCTCCTGCCCGCCCGTTCGTTCGGCTACGTCGTGCTCACCACCTCGGCCGGTATCATGGACCACGAGGAGGCCCGTCGCAAGCACGTTGCCGGCAAGATCCTCGGCTACTTCTACTAAGCCAAGTCGCTCGATCTTGTTCCAGCCGCGTTTCCTCCACCCCCCAAAATGATTCCGTGATGGACACATGTCACGAAGAGAACCTCACGCTTTTCCCCTGTGCTGGATTCGAGAAACCAGCCCCGGCGTCGTACTCCCCCGCCGTGCGCACCTAGCACGAATGGTCGCATCCTCCGCAACAGCGCGACGAGATGTCATCACTAGGGATCCATGGAAACGGCCCCGGTCTCCATCATATACATTTCCCCAACCAACCTGTCGTTGTACATTATGTCGACTCGTCATTCCCCCCATGTGCATCCACTTGCATTTCTCTCTCAATCCAATCGATATTCTCACACAGACCATCTCGTTGCGTATGTGTGCAGAGAGCGGTCTGTAGTGGAAAAGGCGAGTGGGATGGTCGATGCGAGTTTGGTTGAGAAGAAGCGGCGGGTTGGACCCTGAACCGGCGGTTGGTGCGCGGCGTGGCTGTACGTGCCAGAAGCCTTAGCTCGGCTGGAGAAGGTGCGTGGAACCAACACTTTCTCACCTCGCCAACTCGCTTCCACCCGTTCCTCCCTCCGTCCTGTTACCCCACGATCTCAGCCACAGCGGGTTCATAATGGAGGCCAAGTATGTTGCTTGGCGGGATACGTACCTCCGCTCGTGCGGTGCGGGCGTGTACTGCTACTACAATGCGCGGGGCGACAACGGCAATGCGATCACCTGTTCCGAGGCGCACGGCTATGCGATGCTCATCTCGGCCCTGCACCGCAACCGCGCCGACTTTGACGGCCTCTTGACGTTCCTGCTCAACTTTCGCAACGAGCGCGGGCTGATGTGTTGGCAAATTCGCTCCCCGCACCAACCGTCTGCGGGCCGCGTCGAACCTTTCGTGGAAGAGGACGGGAAAACTTCGGCTACGGACGGAGACATTGATATCGCATCATCGCTCTACCTCGCAGCGCGAATCTTTGGCGAGGAGAGGTACAGGGTGGAAGCGGATCGGATCGCAAGTGCAGTGTTGCAGTACACGATTCATCCAGAGCTGGGTACGCCGTTGCTGGGTGATTGGGCCAATCGCGATTCGGCAGAGGGGAGAAGGTTGTACGATGCCACACGCACCAGCGACTTTATCCTCTCTGCATTCGCACTCTTCAGTCGCCAGCATTCGGACGCCACGCAGCGTCAAAAGTGGCAGTGGGTGCTGCAACGCACCAAGCAGACCGCTCTCAGCTGTGGAGGAGCCACGGGATTCCTACCGGACTTTCTCGAACATAAGAGCGGAGATGGCGCCGGACAGTGGCAGCCCGCCAAGGGCAAACTGCTCGAGTCGGAGCACGATGGGGATCTCAACTGGAACGCATGTCGCACACCATGGCGTCTTGCACACTACCTCGCCGTCACGGGCGATACGTCCATCCTACCCCTGCTGCAACACGCCCATCACTCGGCCCGCTCCATCCCCGCATTTAGCTTCCCCAACATCCCCGCGGGTGTCCAACTCAACGCCAGCCACGGCGTAAAGGCGCTGGTGGACTACTCGGACAAGAGCTTCATCGCACCCGTCGGCTACATGTGCCACGTGCTCGGGGATGCAGACGGCCACCGCCAGTGCATCAGCGCGCTCGAGTCGCAAGGCGAAAGCTACTTTGGCGATACCATCGACCTTCTCATCGCCGAACAGGCAACTCATGCCCACGAGTGGCTCGCCTGACCTCACCAACCGCAATAGATAGACTCTTGTGTAGAAAATGGTGTGGATGCATTGGCGACCCGTTGGAACAACTACATGTATGTCGAAGCGGCTCACTTCTTCTTCTGGCTGGTGGTGTTCTTGGGCAGCTCGCGCAGGTAGGGGAGGAAGTCGCGTCCGCCCATGTAGGGCTGGAGGGGAGGGGGGATCTTGAGGCCGTCTGGTGTCTGCCAGTTTTCGACGACGCAGCAGAGGGCGCGCTCGGTGGCGCAGAGGGTGCCGTTGAGCATGTGCACAAACGTCGGCTTGGTGTCGCCGGGCTTCTTGAAGCCGCAGCGCACGTCGAGGCGTCGCGACTGGTAGTCGGTGCAGTTGGAGCACGAGACGAGCTCCTTGTACTCGCCCTGGAAGGGGAACCACGCCTCGAGGTCGTACTTGGCCGCCGCGGCGTTGTTGAGCGCGCCCGAGACGATGGCCACGACGTGGTAGGGGAGCTGGAGCGACTGGTAGAACTCCTCGGAGTTGGCGAGCATCTGCTCGAGCATCTCCCACGACGAGGCCGGGTCGGTGATGCAGAACTGCTCGACCTTTTCGAACTGGTGCACGCGGAAGATGCCCCAGGTGTCCTTGCCGTGCGAGCCGGCCTCCTTGCGGAAGCAGGTGGAGTAGCCGGCGTAGCGGATGGGCAGCTGCTTGGCGGGCTCGGTGAAGACCTCGTCCGAGTGGAGCGCCGAGATGGGCTGCTCGGAGGTGGCGATGAGGTACTTGTCGTCCTCGTCGCCGGTGACCTTGTAGAGCTCCTCGTCAAACTGGTCGAGCTGGGCGGTCTTGGCCATGACCTCCTTGCGCATCATGAAGGGCGTCATGATCTTCTTGTAGCTCTTCCTGCGGAGGAAGTCGAGGCCGTAGTTGATGAGCGCCTGGTTGAGGTCGACGCCGTCGCCGGTGAGGAAGAAGCCGCGGTGGCCGGAGATCTTGGTGCCGCGCTCGGTGTCAAAGAGCTCGAGACGGTACATGACCTCGTGGTGGCTGAGGATGCCGTCCTTCTTCTCGACCTGGGCGTTGGGGCCGTCCGGATGCCACTTGCGGATCTCGGCGTTGTCGTCCTCGGTGTTGGAGATGGGCACCTTGTCGCCCACGATGTTGCCGATCTGCATCGCCTTGGACTTCATCTCGTTTTCGGCCTGCACCACGCTGGGCTTGAGCTGGTTGACCCTGGCGTCGAGCTCCTTCTTCTTGGCCATCTGCTCGTCTGCGTTCTCCTTGGCCTTGCGCAGCTTGGTGATCTCTGCCTGGACGGCGTTGACGTCGCGGCGTGCCACGTCGAGGTCCTTCTGGAGCGTGACCCAGTTCTTGTAGAGAGCGAGCACCTCGTCGACGAGCTCCTCGGAAGCGTTGCGCTTCTTCTGCGAGTCCTTGACGAGCTGAGGGTTTCCGCCCTTGTCGGGTTGGAGGAGAAGGAGGTCGATCATGCTGGATGTGTGGGAGTGGTGGATGCGGGATGGGGATGAGAACGAGAGCGAGAACGAGAGCGAGAACGAGAGGAGTGTTGGTCTAACGCTTGGATTCCGCTGGTGCGCAGCAGCGTGGGCGCAGAATCGACAATTCGAGTCAAACAGCGCCGCCAACAATTCTTCCAAAAAAAGGCGTAAATTTGTCAGAGTGAGATTGAGCTAACACGTTCAGACAAGTATTTCAGCAGCGATTTCGGAAAATTTTCTGAACACGGGCTAGGCAGTGCCACTTTGGAAGATTCGAACGCTGAAGCAGGCTGAAGCAGGCTGGAGCTGAAACCGAGGCTGATGAGGCCAAACGTGTCACAGCGCTGCGTGTGTTCATGACTTGCCTTTTCGCCATCATCCATCCTCAACCCGGTCGATCGTCGCAATGTCCGTCTACGTAGACCTCCCCTTCGAGCTCCAGGCGGCTCCCGCTGGCTTCAAGCCCGGCCAGTCCTCCGCCTCCACCCTCGCCGCTCCCGTCACCCACACCCTCCAGCCCGTCGGCCCCGCCTTCCTCGCCCACAAGCGTCGTGAGCTCAACCGCCTCTCGTTCGCCCAGGACGACAAGACCATCGCAGACTCGCTCGCCGCTGCCGCTGCTGCCGCTGCCGCCAACGGCGACGACGACGCCGGCGTCGGTGAGGAGGACGAGTCCGAGGAGCTCCTCGCCCGCGACCCCAAGGAGTGGAAGACCCAGGACCACTACGCCGTCCTCGGCCTCTCCTCGCTCCGCTGGAACGCCACCCAGGAGCAGATCAAGATCGCCCACCGCAAAAAGGTGCTCAAGCACCACCCGGACAAGAAGGCCGGCTCCTCCGGCCTCACCTCGGACGACTCCTTCTTCAAGTGCATCGCCAAGGCCCACGAGATCCTTAGCAACCCCGAGAAGCGTCGCCAGTTCGACTCGGTCGACGAGAGCGTCGACGACGAGGCCGTCCCCACAGGCAAGGAGCCCGCCGACAAGTTTTACGAGCTCTGGGGCCCCGTCTTTGAGCGCGAGGGCCGCTTCTCCGAGCCCAAGAACGGCCCCGTGCCCAAGCTCGGCGACGCCAACTCGACGCGCGACCAGGTCAACGAGTTCTACGACTTCTTCTACAACTTTGACTCGTGGCGCTCGTTCGAGTACCTCGACAAGGAGATCAACGAGGGCTCCGACAACCGCGACGACAAGCGCTACACCGAAAAGAAGAACCGCAACGAGCGCGCCCGCAGAAAGAAGGAGGACAACGCCCGTCTGCGCAACCTCGTCGACAAGGCGCTCTCCGTAGACCCGCGCATCAAGCAGTTCAAGGCCGACGACAAGGCGGCGCGCGAGGCCAAGAAGAACAAGGGCCGTCCCGGCGTCAACGGCGCCGCTGCCGTCGACCCGCGCAAGGCCGCCGAGGACAAGAAGAAGGCCGAGGAGGAGGCCAAGCGCAAGGCCGAGCAAGAAGCCAAGGCTGCCGAGCAGGAAAAGTCCGCCAAGGCCGACGCCAAAAAGGCAAAGGAGGCCGCCAAGAAGGCCATCAAGAAGGAGAAGAAGGCGCTCAACAAGCTCATCACCGACAACAACTACTTCCAGTCCGCCGCACCCACCCCGGCCGTCATCGAGGCTCAGCTCAACGAGCTCGATGCGCTCTGCGAAAAGCTCGAGGCCACCAAGCTCGCCGACTACAGGAAGAAGGCCGAGGCTGCCTCTGGCCCGGACGCCATCAAGGCCGAGTTTGTCAACGCCGCCAAGGACGCTGGCATCGCCACATCTGCTTTTGCCTGATCCCCTCTCCCCCTTTAGACTTTATTGCCATCGCAATCCACATTTTGTGCCTGCATCGCCGTTCCTCTACGCCATTCGTGATCGCGTGAAATCGGGAGCGACTCGTATCTCCTCATTCGCAGCATCCAGAATTGGGGCAACGCAGATGGGAGTTTCGGGAAAGGAGATGCTTTATTTTTTTGCGTGTGGGTGTGTGTGGGTGCATGTGTGTGTATATCACAGCGACAATGCAACGTGGCAAAAGTATCAAAGATCGACCTCTTGCAACGCAGTCATTGAGATGAGGGTGGGGTGAAGATGGGAAAAAAAGTACAGCGTCGAGGTGGCCACCTGAGCCGGTGACCCTCTCCGACTTAGTTTTTAATGGACAGCATGATGCGGAAAGAAGCCGAGCAGCGAAGCAACCACACTGCCGGAACTTTTGCTCGAACCAATGCCGATCCAACGACGCGCGAAGAAGGAAAGAACGAGTAGCGGGCGAGGTACGAGCTTAGAAGACCAGAGCGGCGTTCTTCTGCTTCTTGTCACCACCGAGCTCGAAGTGCTTGCAACGCTTGAGCGCAACGTGCGAGCGGTACTTGCACTGGGTGCACTCCAGACGCAGAACGACCTTCTTGGTCGTCTTGGCCTTCTTGTGGAAGACGGGCTTGGTCTGACCACCGTAACCCTTCTGCTTCCTGTCGTAACGACGCTTACCCTGAGCGTACAGCGAAGCCTTACCAGTCTTGTACTGGGTGATCTTGTGAGGGCTGTAGAGTGGCGGCAATGATGATGCAAACATCAGCATTGGGACCGGGAAAGATTCTGAGTAACCAGCAGCAGCAGTCGCAGCAACAACAACAACAACACAACAGCCGCCAAAGATCGTGGGGCTACAAGGTCGCATGCTCGTACCATCACGTAGCGAACATGCCCTGCTGACCACGGCGGACACAAATCTCTGCTTTCAACGATCCATGCCCATCTCTGCAAACCCGTGCCAGCCTAGCCTGCGCTCCGGGATCAACGGCGCGAGTACGTGTCGTAGAAGCGGAATCCGATGCGATCCACCATTACCGCTGCAATCTCTTCTGCTCGAGGCGGATGCGCGGGTCTGCCTGTGTCCTACATGTACAGACGCGGAGTGTGCAATCCGAACCTTTCGACGTCACTGCGCGAAGCGTTTGCTACCCTGATGCTGATGTCCGACGATCCTTTCCTCTCCGGCCTCTGTCCAGGCGAATGCGACATCACTGCGTGCGTCTGCGGAGAGGTGCAACGATGATGTCGCGGAAGGCGGCTCTGCTTCCCACCGTGCGCTGTTCCATCCCACAAATGCTCCATGTCTGCTTTGTACTCGGCGGCGTGTGCTGTGCTGATGCTGTGCTGGTGCTGATTGATGTCGGTAGAATACTCACGTGTGCTTCTTGCAGGGCTTGCCCTTGCAGTAAGTCCTGCGCGTCTTAGGAACGTTGACCATTTTTCTATAGTGACGGAAGGATGCGATAGATCGAGATCGAGATGGTGAAGATGGGGTGGAGAATTAGGATCACTTGTTCTGGGACGGAGTGCTGACGGATGCGAGCTGCTGGAGGCAAAGACGCCTGATTGTCGAATGCAGGCTTTCGATGCAAGTGCCGGAGGAGTGTGCGTGCGTGCGTGTACGTGTGCGGTTCGGTCGTGCAACGAAAGTGGTCGTCGTGTGGTCGCAGAGTGTCGATGGTGCGATAGGCGTCGCGATACTTACGCTTCTGATAGATGGCTTGAGGATTGGTGGGGGAAGAGCAAGCATGCGGCAGCGGTCACTCGTTCGGTATGATCGCGAGCGCACTGCCTGGCTCACTTCGGGCGGCAGGCCGTCACAGCTGAGCGCAGTGTGCTGCGACTCGCGCGCAACCGCACCTCAACCCGGAATGGGCCTGCACGCCAGTCAAATCCATTCGGCCCCCACCGCAGACTGGGCTGCCGCTGTCGACGTCCGCTCGCGGCTAAGATACACCTGGCCTTCTCAGGGCACCCAAGCCTGCAGCGTCGATTCTGACACGAGCAGCAACGGCACACTGCTCGGTGAATTGGATTTACGCCTTTTCAAAATTGGCCACCACTTGGTCACGTGATACTCGGCCGAGCTTTTTCGTCGTCTCCATTGGCCTTCCTTTCGCCCTTGTTCACTACCTACTCTGCCCCTTTCGAGCTCGTATCGCTAGCACAACAGCACTTAGGCTGTCATAAAATTCGCTTCATAAGCTTTGGTATCATTGAGCAAGCTCGATATGGACTAGAAGAGGGCGGATGATGAAGGATTGACGGTGAAGCTGTGGCAGAAGTCACGTGCGCAGCCATCCAAGTCAGATTTTGAGCCAAAATCCCAGCTTGAATTTCTCTCTCCTAGGAGCTCCGGGTTGGCGGCAGGAGCGTCGACGGCTGCGGATGCTCGAAGCTGGCTGGGGCTGCGCCGAGAGGCAGCGGTTGGAGTGTGTGTTGCAGCCAGAAGGAATTGATGGCCACCGAGGTCGCAGCCGTGTGCCTCTAGCCAAGCCTAGCCAAGAGCGCCAGTCCACCGACAGCGAGCGACCAGCTTGATCGTAGCGATTCGCAGCTCCACCCTTGTCACGCCCATCACCATCTACTCAAGATCGTAAGTATACCCTGCCAGCACACTCGCATCGCCATCGCCGCCAGCCGTACGTAGGGTCGCATCGATCGTCGCCATCCATCCGCATCGTAGTCCAGGATCCAGTACAGTCTGTCAGCAAAACGTCAAACGGTTCAACTGCCAGCAGCGTCCAGCATTAAGACAGCATACCATCGTCGGAACGGCACCAACGTCTACCGCATCCATATAAGCATTCAGTGTCGACCCTGCCGCCTGCCGCAGAGAGCATACGGACCGCCATCGTAGCAACTATCCACCTCATTCGATCGAGTACTCGGTACAGGCACTCCTGCGACGCTTTCAGATACAGTCCAGCCGCGACTGCAACCATATGCTCATCGGCGCACTCTATAAAACATCGCTCAGACGATTACATGCAACCGTTCGCAACTGCCAAAGAAGCCAGCCCTGATTCGTCGACGAAGGACATTCAGCAGCTTGCACTTCGCCGCGGCATCTGCGACACTTGCCAACAAAGGCGGTTCATTGGCACGTGTGCGCTCTTTGCACCGACTACAACAGCGGCGCGGATGGCCGATGCGATTGATGCGCTTGCACCAGCACCCTGCCGAGCAACCACCAACTGACCCTTGCGACACTCTTTCCTGCATCGTCCAATCACCGCTCTCAGATCATACACAATGCCTGCTTCCTTCAAGCGTTACGTCGAGGTTGGCCGTGTTGTCCTCGTTGAGGAGGGCCCGTCCGCCGGCCAGCTCGCCGTCATCGTCGAGGTCATCGACCACAACAGGGTAAGTGGATCCATCGCGCATTCGACATCGCCTCATCGTCCACGCAACGTCATCAGATCGGAGCTCGACGGAAAGACATCGACAGTCTTGAAGCAGCGAGGCAAGGAGGAAGGGAGCGGAGGCAGTTGGGAAGTTGGCATTGTCAGAGCTCCGAAGGAACTAAAGCCCGCAGTCAGGATGTCGCCAGCAAAGCAACCGGCGAAGCCCGCAGTCTCGGGGGTAGAGGGATGGCACGTCGGGACTCTGGCAACTTCTGACGTGGATGATGACGACAGGATGATCCGATGTCGAACGCTTCGTCGCACTCAAACATCAAACTGACTCTTTCTTGCTCTACGATCCGCTCTTGCTCACTCGACAGGCCATCATTGACTCGCCCACCACCGGCGTTAGCCGCCAGGCCTTCCCCTTCAAGCACCTCACCCTGACCAAGCTCAGCGTGCCCGGTCTTCCCCGTGGTGCCGGCTCGACGGCCGTCAAGAAGTTCTTTGACAAGGCTGGTGTTGCCGAGAAGTGGTCGCAGTCCGGCTGGGCCAAGAAGCGCGCTGCCGTCAAGACCCGCCGCTCGCTGTCGGACTTTGACCGCTTCAACGTTATGCTGCTCAAGAAGCAGCGCCGCAACGTGCTCTCGCCCGCTGTCAAGAAGGCCTCGGCCTAAACGGCGGGATCCAGTCCCTCTTGTCGCGGTCTTGATTCGGTCTCTTTCTCTCCAGCAGCATTTCCCCTATACACGCACGCCTGCACAGCCGCCACCTTCTCCCTGTGCCCCCCTCCAGGCGATGATCCGACTCTTCCGGGCATGATTTACGCATCCTCGAGACTGTCTCGTTCCTTCCCCCTCGGTCTCTGGACAGTCTGGGGATGACACGCTCGGTCGGACGACGTTGCTTTCCGATATCGCATCGGAAGGAGGACACTACCCCAAAACGGAGATGGCTGGTGGGTGGGCACGACGTGCTTTTCATCCTCCGCCGCCATGTACTATGCAGACACACCCTTTCCTCAGAACGGGGGGGAAACCCAAAAATCACAACGAATCCTCTTT